TTAAGACCCGGACAAATTAATTGCTCTCAAACAAGACAGGATAGTTTCTTCAGGGGAAAAGATTCTGAGGCAATGACCAGTCATCTAGTCGGAGAAAGGAGAGGGTCATTTCTGAAGGTCATTTCTGAAGGAGGGAACACAAGCAAGTTACTCTAGGGCTGGAGATCTAAAGGAAAATGGGCTCCATGTCATAGTCAAGGGCTATGGAGGGATTGTACTCAAGCCAAGGGAAGATCAGCTTGGCCCCATCTGTTTTTTAGAAAAGGAACAACTGCAAAGTGCTTTCCAGTTATGACAGGGTGGAAGGCAGGAAAGGCAACAGCTGGTGGAGCCAGAGACACTGAAGGGTACAAAACTAGAATCCATTGGCTGTGCCCACCTTCCTCTTGCTAAGATCAACAAAAGCAACATTGACACTAAGGGTGAAGCTGATTGCCTGTGCTATCCCTGGACTGCTTAGAACAGTGATGGCCAAACTTGGTCCTCCAGCTGTTTTGGGACTACCACTCCCATCATTCCTAGCTAACAGGACCAATGGTCAGGGATGATGGGAAATGTAGTCCCCAAACAGCTGGAGGGTCAAGTTTGGCCATCACTGGCTTAGAAGAAAGAAGTCAGCCAAGTTGGGACTGACTGAAGGCAGACTGAAATTGGCATGCTAGCCTCCACTGGGGCTTGCTTTCCCTTCCTTGCAAGAAAGGGCATCTAGCTCCCACTGCCAATTGTCCCTGGGACTACAGAACCGGGGGTAAAGGACACTCTGGTCCCATCCAGCAGCCAAGGAACAAAACACCAGCAAGGGGAAGATCAGCTGGGCCTGAACCAAATATAAATACCCATACATAGCTTAATGACTTCATTCTGGCCTTGAAGAACTAATCTCTACCATTTTCTTACACTCCTCTTTTCTGGTGCATCTTGTTTCTTTCAGTAGTGAGTCTGGTGAGGGCCTGTTTCTTATGCCTTTGTGAGCTGCTTTGGAGACAATTATCTGAAGAGCAAGAATGGGAAGAATGTAAGGAATAATCTAACAAACCCTTCCCAATGGGATATTCAGTGTGATGAGCACTGGTTAATTTTGCTTTTACTGTAAATCAGAGGTTACTTATAGACATACTTTTAACTACTAGTAGATGGCAGTTAGAAACACAAGAGTATTCCTTGTCTGAGGTTGGAGTTTAAAAGTTTGTCTTGTGTCAGGCAAGGTTGAAGGCTGCTGTCCAATTGATTAAAACAAGCCTATATTGAACATGTCTTGATTCGTTGTCCAAACCATTTAGCGTTACTGTCCAAGAAAAGTTAGTTGAGAATGTTTTCGAATAGATCACATGAAAGTAGAAATTCAAACTGACAGCGGATCTATGATTAAGTCATAGCCAGTGTCATTTCACTGTGCTCAAAGTGCTTCTTTTTTTAAAAAAATAATTTTTTATTAATTTTCAACACAAATATACAATCTTATACAATCTTATCCAAATTTTCACAAATTTAACTCTGTTTAGACTTCCTTCAGCTTCTCTGACAATCATCCGTATTTACCTCTCAATTACGCATTTCTTCTGTTTTTTTATTGCCATTAGTCTTCCCTCCCACTATCTATTTCTTTTTGACAATATATCTCAACTTTCACAGTGCTTCTTTAAACCCCACTAGCGTTGTTTGCACATCACATATACTTTCCAGATAATCAACAAATTTTCCCCAGTCCTCGATGAACTTTTGGTCTCGAAGATATCTAATTTTCCCAGTTAGTTTGTCCAATTCTGCATAGTCTGTCAATTTCATTCTCCATGTGCTCAAAGTGCTTCATGTTCTTTCTTTCTTTTTTTTACACAGGGTGTTCTGAACACACAAATTCTCCAACCTACTGTTTTAATCTGAGATAAAAGAATAGAACTATCCTAAATAGGATAGTTTGGTATGTGTGCTGGAAGAACTGCATCAAGGTAAGTATTTCAATCACTATAACAATAATATTTTTAGATGTGTACAAGGTGTCTAAGAATTGTCTAGCAACTTCTGCTACATTAAACCTTTGTCTGAGAAACACGAACTCTTCATAATGTAGAGGTGCCTGGAGAGTGGCCAATTCCTCTGATAAGGCTTGATTTCGACATCGCTAACATGTGCTTATGAAGCTTACTCCAAGACAGATCATTGACCCAGCTAGACAACTACCATCCATGCTAAGGCTGCCATCCTAAGCCATTCTTAGGTCTAACTTCAGGCTAAACACACATAGCATTGTGTTGCTCTGCTACTGATCCTCTCTCCAAAAACTACAAACCAAGGAATACAGGCAACCACCTTGCTATCTTTCCTATTGCTAAGTGAAATGTGAAATGTTTTCCCTGTGTGCTTTTGCAATACCAGGTTTCTGGGTTTTTTGAATTAAACACACACACACAGAAAAAGACATGATACCAAAATAATAAATACACTTTAAAAAGGAGGGGGAAATGCATACGCCAGCAGTGCAAAGGCTTAACAAGACCTGATGTCCATGTTATAACATCTGTCAGTAACAAAGGCAAAAAGAGGCCAACAAACTGCAAAATATCCAGATGTTAATATACCACCCCATAAGTGAACAAAAGTGTTAAGGGTTTTTTTTTTGTATTAGGGCAAAATGTCATGTCTTTTGAAGCCATTCACCAACTGTTAAATGGCTTCAGATGAACATCATTTAGGGACAATTCATATTCTGCAATACTAGAGGTTGTTTAAAATTGGGCTCCTTCATCTATATTTGTACTCCCTCAAGCAACCTTTTAAAAATATTGTTAAGTTACCAAAGCACAAACAAGACATTGATTTTGCCATCAAATGGTACATTTATCAGTTCATCAGTAAATATAACCAACAAGCACTATCCTTTCAGAAAATAAGTTCAGCCTGCCAAACGGTTCTCCCCGTCTTTCCTAGCCAAGTATCATCTTCAGATTAGAAGTTTATAACAACAGAGGCAGTGCTTTTTTTTTTCTAGGGGGACGTAGGGGAACACATACCCCTAAACATTTTGTGACTCTTTGTACTTTTGTCCATTTACTGTATTTATTTTTCCCGGTTTGAACTATAAAATAGTGATATATCTATCTGCAGAAACTCAAAATACACTACAAAGCTGTGGTAGATGGATGTTCCCAGTGCAGATCCAGTGCACCTAATAATTTAGAGAAAAGACTCATTCGAGTAAAGCAATGCCAACTTTTTCACTCAGACACGCAACACATGTAACTAGGTACATCTAACTCTGCCTAGAATTGCAGCAGTAACTCAGGTCACATTTTGCTTCTCCCGTAAAATTCAGGGAGCTGTAGTTTGTTGAGGGTGCCGGGAACTGCAGCTCTGCAAGGGGTAAACAAGTTTCCAGGATTGTTTGGGGAAAGCCATATGCTATAAATGTGCTTGGATGTATGTTGCGGGTGTGACCTCAGTCCTTTGCAAAAGAAATGCCTGAAGTCGCATCAAATAATCCATTAAATTCCCTGTTGCAGGAGGCCACAGCCCACAGCCGAACGGTGAGACAGCATCATGATTATAAATAGCAGGTCAATGCCACATACACAGCAGACCTTGAAACTCAGAACAAGCATGCCAGCTCCTCCCATAGTTTCCCAGAGCTGGTTTCAGAGTTCAAAACAGCACCAGACATCTGAATGATTAACAAGAGGATGACAGAAACCCAGCAGCCTATTTAGGTGGGAGTTGAGGAAAAAGCACAAGGCAACAGAGAGCCCAGACAGTCCTAAATTCTTTGTAAAAACGGGACAGGAATTGGAAAGTGGTAGGACCATTACAGAATGTTGCATCAGAGGGCTTTTAACCACATCCCAGCTAAGCAAAACATGCCACATGTATTAAATAGTTCTCTGGCATTAAAAAAGAAGGAAGGAAAATGGGTATGGAAGACTCTTGTGAGAATGAAACATCCTTGCTCCACGGTTCCTAAAGAAAGGCAGAACTCGGTAGCGGCTGCTCCCAAATCAAGAATCTCAAACCCATCATCAGCTAAGGCAGCTGCCACTCTTAATTGCATAATCCTAAACATGTTTATGGGAAGTAAGACCCTCTGACTTTAGTGTGACGTAGGACTGCAGCCAAGTAAGTCAGATTTTACGCAAATAAATCCACGCTGATAGGGGCAGCTTTGAATCAGAGGAGGAGATAACACCACAACGGAGAATAAACAGCCGCAATATAAGAAATAAGCCTTGTAAGGCATCACTGTGGCACCCAAAGCAAACCTGGTATCTGCCCCAGCAGCTGCATTGAACCAATTTTCCTGGTCAGGTTAGGAAGCAACTTGTGATCAGTGAAGACTAAGCCCAAATAGGAGACTGAGATAGAATGAAAAGCTTTTTCCTCTGGCAGCCTACACAACTGCTGTCAGTAAAGGAGTGGCAGGAATCCTGGGCATCTGCCCTTCTATTAGCCTGGAGCAGAGTCTTTTGCTTTGCCAGCGCAGCAGAGAGCCACAGCCCTACAGAAGCCAAAAACAAACAAACGCAACAACCCTTTGCAAGTGAGTCAGGCATGAGCCATTGGCAAAGAGGGGAAGAGAGAACCCGGCAGACACAGCTTGGAAATCGGGGCTGAAGCAGTGACAGGGCTCGATCCCAGCAACCGTGTTTCACGGCCAGCACTCAACCTTGGAACATAGGGACAGACCGCAGTGCTCCTGAGCATGTGCAGAGTTTGATCGCCTTGTCCCCAAGGCTGGTGGGTGGTGGGTAGGGGAGAAGGTGAAAGCGGGGGCTCCCAGATCAGAGACTGTTGCTTCCAGGCAGTCTCTTCTCTTGGCATTTCCCTCCCCCTTGCAAGCAGTCGCTGGCCCACCCGCCAGCAGGCAGACCACCCCTCTGAGGCCTACCCCCCAGGGTGGTCCTGCCACAACAAAAACACTCTTGCCAGAGATTGGAGGGGGGCATATCCATTATGGAAACCAATCGCCGTACGTATTCCGAAAAGGCAGAAAGAAAGGAAACCAAAGCTCCTACCTGCTGCTTTTCCAGGGACAGCCTCGTAGGATGGATGGCTAGCCACGCATGCGCAAATGGCTCGCGCTATCACTTCCTCGCCGCCGGTGTGCCGTCCCCCCCCCCCCCCTCTCCAACGAGGCGGCGCCGGCGGCCGTTCCCGACTGGAAGGAAAAACAAACCTCCTTCTAAGCTCCTCCCAATCCTGCCGCGGCCCCTTTAAATCCAACATGGCGCAGGACGCGCTTAGGGAGATCCTCCCTATCTCTACGGGCGCGGGGAGAGGGCGGGGCGTTTTCGGTCAGGTGACCGCGAAGAACCTAACCCGTCAAGCCTCGCCCGTTGAGTTTCCTTCGCAGAAACGAGGGAAAGGAGGAGTCCTATCCCGTGTCTTCCATTCAGACGTTCGCTTCGTTGCTTTGCCCCTTATATCCAAGGCCTTTCCAAATCCCTCACTTTTTAATTTTTTTTATTAAGTTTTTTATTTATGCTTTTCAAATTTATACATTTCATTAGCTTCACAATCAATATTTCAAAATTTGACTTCCTTCCCCCTCTTTTCTGCAGTTCCTAAAATTTATTTTTAATAACTTCTGCATATCCAAATTCATTTAACTTGCTCATTTATTTATCTACTGTAAATATATACTCTTATAAAACTGCAGGCTATTACATTGAAGCCTTATTTACCTAGGGATCCATTAGCCACGCCATCCCCTGGACCTCGGAGGGAACAAAAGTACCAGGAAAGCAAAATCTTCTTTGGAGAAAAAGAGTTTATTGAGATCTGTGCACAGAGACAAGGTCTGTACTCAGAGACAACCAGCTGGATAGTTCCTAAAAATACACTGGCTGTAAAGCAAGACACTTCAGCAGACTTTCTTATACCCCCAGACTTCCCCAATCGGCTAGCAAATATTGCTTGCTAAACACAATTTTATTGCTTGCTAGACATTCCTGTCTTTCTGCTAAGCCAAGCACTCCCTCCCACCTCCTTGTACACGTGTCTTCTTTTTCTAGCTAAGCATTCTCTTCGTATCTCTTCCTATTCTTGCATTACTTAAAAGCAGAAGTAAAGCAGGAAACATCTTGCTAGTGGTTTTTCGGTTAACAGCAGTTTCTGGCTGGGCAGGAAGCGACCTTCTGACCTGTAGCTAGCATCAGCAGTTTCAAGTAGCTGGTTTAGGCAGAAAACGACCTCTTGACCTGTCTGTTTTAGACTCTTGCAAGCTACTGCAATTTTGGGCTGTTTTTAACCATCCTAGCAGAGTGCAGGAATTTACTATGTGTAGATAATATTTGAGAGCAACACAATAAAATATTGAGAGAAACCTTTCCTATCTCCCTTTACTCCGTCCTCTTCTTTTGAACAATCTATTACTTAGATTCGTTCTGGGGTAGGGGTCTATATTCTCTCATTACAGCAATCACGCGAGGTCCCATCATGCGAGACATCATCTTTCCCATCATATGTTGCAGGCATTGCATTAAGCAGGGTATACAGAAGCAGAAAAGCAATAGAAGCATTATTGGGCCTATTCTTCCCACAAATACGATACCGTTCATGCCAACAGAAATACGAGAGCATCCATATGACAAGGGCGGTACATATCACTCCTACCCACCAAACCCAATATCTCCATGGTTCCTCCCACCAATATTCAGGGGGTGTGCTCATTGTTGAAGAGCCCACTGATATTTGTGCCCGACTACCTGTTGAGCCTCAAGGATGAGAGCCCACCGGTGAGCTGATGCTCCCACTATGTGGGTCAATTTTTCTACTAACCCTGTTGGGTGGATTGAACTCTCGTGCTGCCTCCCTAGTGACCAGAGCATATGGAAGCTGAAATCCTGGGGTGGCAATTCTTACTGGCACTTGTTTAGTAATTTCAATGTACACCTGGCTAAGGCTCCCACCCCTGTAATACTTGCATTAAGATAGGTTCTGTCCCATCTATGACCTGGGTTAAGAGTAGGACCTGGTCTATCAAATGAGGTTGGTACAGTGCTCTACCTTCCAGATAACAGTTGACTACCCTCCCACAACAGCAAGAGCAGTCCAGAACTAGATAGATTTCGATCGTCTCTGCAACTTCCCGTATGAGCACTATCCACGCGTGCTGGACAGTGGTGTGGGAGAGGAACCACAACGGGGCAGTGGGGTGTCTCAATACGGTAATCTCATCAAACCCCAGTTTCCAATAGCCAAAGAGCACGCCATCTCTTACCACCGGCAAGACGAACCAGTCGTAGCAGAGGCCAGCAGGCCAATAGGGTTGGTATGGTTCGGTAGGGTCAGGACAATAAGACATAGAGCAAGTCAATAAAGAAAATAAGAGAGAAAAGAGAAAGTCTTTGTAACTGTCCTTGTGATGATTAGTCGCAGGATCTCGTTGCCCGTGGCCTAACGCTTTTTCCTGGTAGCGTCAGACACAAGGTGATGATCAACTTCAGAGGGTCAGCAGGATTTCTTTTGCAAGTCCAGACACCCTTCTTCAGATGCGTGTGATGTACCCAGGGGATCACCTCGACTACTTTCACTGCAGTTGGGGATGAGGGGGTCGCCAGACGCTGTCACTTAGAGGAACTGGTGAACCGGCTCAGCGAGACTGCCGCGGGACTGCAGGTGTACGCTCGAGGGAATACCTGGAAAGGAAGCAAACACACACAACAAACACAGGGATTGCACTTGTTCTTGGGTGATGTGATCTCCCATCTGCCCCAAACTGGCGGGGATGTCTCGGACGAAAGGGGTTGGCCTGCCATATAGAAGTTCAAAGGGTGATAGTTCTCAGTCTCTTGGTTGGCGCACAGGGCACATTTTGGGATATAGCAGCAGTTAGTTATAGCAGATAGAATATTCTCCCAAGGTGTGCTTTAGCAGCTGGGCCTCCCAAATGGGTGGACTCGTGGTAATTCTTTACAATTGTGCTGGCCAGATGTTGGGGCACAAAAACACGGCTGTCTGGTCCTTCCTGGAGCGTTGCTCCTTCTTGGCTGGTCCACTGCTGTTCATCAAGGGTGTAACGTGGTTCCACATCGTCTGGAGTGAGTTCTGGTACCAATATCAAAAGTCCTGGTGGTGCCTCTAAATTGGCTGGAGAACAAATGTCTACGTTGGGGGCGCTGCCTGCGGGCGCCCCTCCCATCCAATTCTCACCGTGCGTAGAGATATCAGCCTCTGGAGTGATATCAGCAAGGCAGTCGTCACTGGAGGGGATCTTCAGGATGCTGAGACACAGTCCAATCTGAAGCAGCTTTCCCCACTTGAATGTGGTGGACCCAAGGGGTGGTGCCAGCGATCTTCACAGCTGTGGGTGTGGAGAGCAGATGGGCCCTTCCAGCACGGTTGCAGTGGTGCCTGGGACCAGTCTTATCCACACCTCGTCACCTGGCTCAAACTGGTCACGCAAGGAGTTCGGGCCTGGGTTGAGAGAGAGAATCTCGAGAGAGAGACTGTACATAATTGTTCAATTCCACATCTTGAGCAGGGATAGGTGAAAGCATGCACACATAAGGAACCGGTCTCCCAAACATCACTTCAAAAGGGTGACAAGTGAATACGTTTCAATGGGAGGCTACAGACTCTAAGCAAAGCCAAGGGCAACATGAACACCCAATTAGACCCTGTTTCTTGGGTCAATGGTTTTTCAAAGTCCTGTTCATCCTTTCCTATTTTCCAGAACTTTTGGGGCCTATATGCAGTACCCACCATCTTCCTTCTTCACTGGCAACAGTGGGGTGTTTCACTGTGATTGGCATTGTTTCAAGATTCCATGTTGAAGCAATCGCTTCAAATGCACCCACACTCCTTCAGCTGCCTGTCGTGGGATGGGGTATTGGTTTTTAGCTTCCGCCCATAGTCCAGGGTCAACATCATGAAGCAGGCTAACAGGGAGGATTCCCTCCTCTTCTTTTACCATCATCAAGCAGCAATGGTCTCTCAGGGGCATTTCTAAAGAAAACTCTCCTGCTGGTCCAGTTGTCATCATTACTTCCCCCATTGGTTGGAAGGAAATCTGGGCTTGTAATTTTGTTAACAAGTCTCGGCCCAAGAAAGGAATGGGACACTCTGGTATATACAAAAATTTGTGCTGGACTACTTGGCCACCTAGGCAACAGGTAACAGACTGCAAAAACGGGGCCTTTTGTGATTTACCTGTAGCTCCAATTATATTAACCACTTGGTTTGTGGGTTTTGTTACAGGCATAGGTAAGACTGAGTGGGCAGCTCCCTTGTTTACCTTCAGCTACCTGTAATAAGGTAGCTGGGTTAAGGGCTGTGGTAACCTGAAACTTCAGGCGTGAATGTAATAACAGCATCTGTGTCCTGTCCAAACGTGAATTTATCTGCCTTTGTGAGTAGGGTAGCCACTGCCACAATCGCTCTCATACGGGGGGGGGGGCAGCCTCTGTTCTGCTGGGGTTAGCTTCTCTGACAAGTATGCGACAGGTTGCTGCCAATTTTCCAGTTTCTGGCATGAGACTCCCTTGGCTACCCCCCTGGTCTTCATCTATGAACAGGGTAAAAGGCTTCTTGGGGTTTGGATGCCAAGCACTGGGGCTTGTTGTAATGTCACTTTGAGATCCTGAAAAGCCTGCTGCTGTTCCCTGCCCCATATAAAAGGATCCTTCTCTATTCCCCTAGTTGACTCATGCAGGGGCCAAGCAATGCTTCTGTAATTAGTAGTGAGTCCAGGGGATATTGTTCATCATCATAAGTGGGATTATAGGTTTTAAAAAAATCCCTTCAAACAATTTTATGATCTTTGCTGGATTCTCCTCAAAAGAGGGGTTCTGATTTCTTCAATTACAAACATCTGCACTTGAAAAGGGTATATGCTGTCTGTGGTGCCTTCGCTTGTCCAGCTGGGACAGGGGCTGGTGGATCATAAACCCTCCGAAGGGGCATTTCTCCAGCTGCCTGATCCTTCCTGGTTTTCTCATACTGTCTGTGAGACATAACTCTCTTCGCCGCCTGTCCCCACTTACGTTGCCATCTCTTCCTCTTTTCAGGGGTGCAGCATTCTGCTGCCTCAACTAACAAGGGGGGCTTACATCCAACTTCTTCCTCAGATGGCTTTACAAACTCCTTTAGTCTCTTTTTCTGTCTTTCTGTCCACATTTTCTTTCCTTGATTCATAT